CGAGCCAGAGCACCTGCTGCCCCTGGCCACCCACGGGCGCCTGAACGCGCAGGGGGCGTAGGTCTGGTGCGCTGGGCCGTGGCATCCACGATGCCCTCACACGTGCACTGGCAGGGCCAGCGCCTCCCCCGCACCATGGACCTCGCCCTGAGAGGCGAAAGGCCGTGGGCCCCAGCGGCCCTCCTGCCTGCATCGTTGCGCATGAGCCATCTGGAGAGCCGAGATACTATTTTTATAAAAAACTGTTTTTATTGATTTTAGAGAGAGATGAAGGGAGAGGGAGAGAGAAACATCAATTGGAAAGAGAAACATCCATCAGCTGCCTCCTGCATGCACCCCAACTGGGGACGGAATCTGAAACCTGGGCATGTGCCCTGATGAATCAAACCAGCAACCTTTTGGTACACGGGACAACGATCCACCAACTGAGCCACACCGGCCACAACAGTGGTATGGACACCAATCTACTTCCTGATTTACCTAGTCTGAATATCTCACATCAGAGATCATACAGTATATGACTTGGTGTGTCTGATTTTTTAAACTTAGCACCATGTTTTTGAGGTTCATATAGTGATTTTAGCAGCAATCACCGCCACCACCACCACGACAATGATGAGGATTAGAATGACTGAACAGCAGCAAATTCTGAAATTGCAGTGCCTGCGATTCTGGGCGCTGTGGGAATGCAAATCCTCCCTTGGGGCGGAGACCTCGACTATACTCTCTTCCTGGTAGTTGGTGCTTGCTCTGGGACTCTTAGCCCGTGGGGGCTCAGGAAACCAGGGGTTGGGCACTACCTCTTCTTTCTTCACCTCGGTGTCCCCTGTCACTGCCTCCGCATAGGTGCTACTCCTTGTGAAAGAAGGTTTATAGATGGGAACCCCAAAGGTAGGTGTGCTTATTGTGGGAAGTGAAGGGGAAGTTGGTGATGGTTCGTCTAGATCTAACTCACACTGAGCACAAAAGCCCTGGAGACACGCCTCACAATTCTTAGTGTCATGTGGCCCTTTAAGAGAGATATCCTTGATTGTAGGAATCTCCTCCATTGACTGAAATCCTTCTCCATAGCATTTCTTCAGAATCCGGAACACCAGGTTATTCAGGATCCTTGAGACGTTCTCCTCCGTGAATTCTGGAACCTCAAATGGAGGGTCCGAGCACTTCCGGCATCTCTGGGCAAAGACCCTCATCTTCACCTGGCCCGTGGATTCCCTCTTATTCCAGTGCATGTGGCAAAGGACTTCAACGTGGGCAGAGGCCCAACTGCGAGAGCACCAGGAGCACGTGAACCTGTGGCGGCAGAAAACGAGACCCTCAGCTTGACCGAACCGGGGGCTGTGCCCGAGGGAAGCAGGAGGGACCACCGTTACAGAGACACAGTAGATTGGGTCCTGGATCAGTGGGGGCTGAAGTGACCAAGTCCCTCGTTTCCATCTCCATTGTGCGCTGACAAGCTCATGACTCACAGGTGTCTATCATTATGACAGCGGGTCACGTGCTCTAAGAGCCGAAGGGATCCCCGGCACCTTCTAAGCCCCAGGGGATCGTGTCAGAGATGAGCACACACCGGGAACTTGTCAGGCCCAGGGACTCTGTGGGTGTAAGAGGCAGGACAAGCACTTCAGCTTCCTGACTCCAAACCAAGGCTTCTCCGAATGTAGATTGAAGTGGGACAACAACTACAAGTGAGACAGCTGCCATTCACTCAGCCCGACCCACAGTGGATCCCGGCGGGCGTTGGTAAGTGCTACAGTCTGAAAGCTTGCGTCCTCCTCAGATTCACAGGAAACCCTAATGCCCAAGGTGATGGTGTTTGAAGGCGGGGCTTTTGGGGGGTGATTAGGTCAGGAGGGTGCAGCTCTGGTGAAAGGCTAAGAGGCCTATGCAAGAGGCCCACAGCGCCCCCTAGCTCCTTCAGCCTGTGAGGACACCACAGGGAGTCTGACCCAGAGGAGGGCCCTCACCTGAGCAGCGGGTGCCCTGGGCTTGGTCTTCCAGCCTCCAGAACTGTGAGCAACACGTTTCTGTTGTTCATGAGCCGCCCAGTCTGTTGTTGTTGTTGTGATGGCTGTTTTTTAGCAGCAGCCCCAAAGGACCCAGACCCTGTCAGAGACCCCAGGTTGGGGAGGGACCCTAGACAGCGCCGTGTCCTAGGGAAAAACATTGCTTTGCTCCCAGTTGCCCAGGGCCCCCCAGTCGGCCATTAGTACTGGGAGGGTGCCGTGTCGGCTCTCTCTTCATTGCCCCAATCCACTGCTCAAAGTAGCCTGAAACACTTCCCATTCCTCATGGCCCTGGCCTCAGAGAGAGTACCAGAGAATGACCCTTCCTCTCAGCAGGGAGGAGGGCAGTTTTCTGACCTAAGATAGCTGCACAAATACATGTCGGCAGAAGTGGAGAGAGAGAAGGCAGGGAAGCACATGGCAGCACCCAGGACAGGAATTACGGGGGAGCAGAGGGCTGAGCACATGACTCACCAAATTACCCACACTCCCGCCCCCCCGCCCCCCGTGTTCCAACCCCGCTGGGCAGTTATGTTGGGGCAAGATGACCAGTTGGCTGATGGGATGTCGGCTGAAGCGATGGATGCTGCTCCCAGGTCTGGCACTGAAGCCCTTGACTTTCCAGCTCTTTCCTTCTGTTTCCTGGTGAGCTTGGGGCCATGTGTTCGGTTATTTGTTACAACAGCCAAGCCCGGCCTTGTTGGGCATGATGCAGGAGCACCTCGAGTCTGGACGGTGGATCAGAGGGTGCTGGGAAGGAGTCAATCAGGGTTTCCTTTTGTATCTTTCTTTTTAAATTTAGTTTATTTCTGTTGTTAATCCTCTCCCGAGGGTATTTTTCCAGAGAGTTTTAGAAAGAATGGAAGGGGAAAGAGAGAGAGAAACATCGATGTGAGAGAGACATATTTATTGGTTGCTTCCTTCATGTGCCCCAATCAGGGCTGGGGGTCGAGCCCGCAAGGGAGGTACGTGCCCTTGACTGGAATCAAGCCTGGGACCCTTCAGTCCACAGGTCGATGTTCTATCCACTGAGCCCACGTGACCAGGGCTTCCTCTGTATCTTGATTCTAGCCTCACCTCACTGGGTGAAGATGAGGATGAAATGCAGGGAAGATGCCCAGGAGCCCTGACCACTGTGAGCAAGATGACCTGCTGGTGCAAAGGTCCTGGGCCCTGCTCTTCTGAGCTACAGTTCCTGCCACCATCCTGGGTCCCTGCTGCTCTGTTGGTGTGACAGCTCAGAGTTTAAAAAAAAAAAAAGGAGCTGAGACTTTGCTCAGCTGCTCTTGGTGCCAGCTTCCGACCTGGGAAAACTACAGGTTATGGAGAGGAGAGCTCAGTTTCCCCTTCCCAGGCCTTCCAGGAAGGGGGCAGTGGGCAGGCAACATGCCCCTTCCCCAGTCCCAGGACCCATCCTCCGTGCAGGTGGACCCCACCCTGGGCTCTGATTTCCCACCTGGAAAGCAGAGGCTTAGCCTTTGGGTGCCTCTCAGGGTCCTGTTGTTACAAAGATTCCCTCAGCTCCTTGTAGAGAGGTCAAGATGGCTGCATGTGGCTCTGCCCCTCCATGAGGGGTCCTCAGTGCCCAGGGAGGGCCCCTCTTTTGGGTTCTGTAGTGGGTCCCCTGACCCCCGCCCCTTTGCATTTGCAGCAAGCCTTGCTCATTCAGCTCTCCTGGGCCTCGCTGCTTTTGCCCTCCCCTTCGCAGTCTGATTTCTCCATATTTGGGCATCACCCCCGCACCAGTGCCCACTGCCCCTGCTGTGTTTTGTGGTTCATTGTAATAAGAAAACAATCTTTACCGAAGCTACAATGTCTTGAGTGATGGGCTCCTTCCTTTCTCTAATCTTCAGTTTACTAGTACAGCAGGACGGGAGTCAGAAAGGTAACCAGTATACAGAGTAAGGAATTGGAAGAATAATCTGGAATACATCCCACCCCATTCCCCACTCACCTGGCAAAGACCCACTGCTGGTATTGTGCCCACCCTGGTTGCAGGGTGTTGGGAATGAGGCTGTTGTCTAGTGTCAGGGTCCATTGGTGCCATGGTTTCACCTCGTGAATTAATTCCTGAAACACTTTCTGCCACAACTTCACATCCTGGCTCTTGGCTGCTGGCATGGTGAGCTGGGGCACCAGTCTCTCCTGGGCTCTGACGGGTCTCTAGCCAGACGTGTGGTTTCCACTGCAGAGAGCATGGGCTCACATCCGCTCCCCTCTATGGCCCTGCACTGGGCCTACAGATCTGCTCTTTGCTCCAAGGACAAAGGTCAGTTGAGTCAGGCTGCACAGGGAATTTCGAAAGACACGGAATGCATGGTTTCATTCACCAAGAGCCCACTCCAGGAGCTCTTGGGGCCCCATGTCAGGAGGGCAGATCTCAGTCATGCTCTGCTGTTATCTCCCCTCAGCCTTTCTCTCTGGCAGCCTTTTTCAGATCTTGTCTGGACCCCCCTGGATCCTGGAAAACAGGGGTTTCTATACTTACATGCAAGCTGTCCTCCAGCCTCCTACCTGGCAAGGCTGCCACTCCCTTCCTCAGGGCCAGTGGCTGTGACTCACCCTCTTCCCTGTCCAGCCCAGAGGCCATTCTCCTCGGAACAGGGCCAGGGACTCACTGTCACTCCTTCCGAGCATGGGCTACGCCCTGGGAGGTGGCTGACGGTGTCACCTGACACGCGGCCCTGTTGACACTGAGCAGTAGCTCCTGCCTTCTTGTTTGAGCTTAGACTCTGAGCAGCAGGCCATTTCGAAAACTTTTACTGTTATATTAGTACTATTAATTTTATTAGCACTTACTCAGAATACCAGTGAAGTAAATTTTTATGTTTTACTTAAAACCACATTAGCCTGGCTGGTGTGGCTCAGTGGTTGAGTGTTGAACTGTGAACCAGGAGGTCATGGTTCAATTCCCAGTTAGGGCACATGCCTGGGTTGCTGGCTCAGTCCCCACTGTGGGGTGTGCAGGAGGCAGCCCATTGATGATTCTCTCTCATCATTGATCTCTCTCTCCCTCTTCATCTCTGAAATAAAAAAAAAAATTTTTTTAAAAATACCACGATGAGTCAGAAAGAATGAAAGGGCTGGGATGAGGTCTGGAGACAGGTGCGCCCAGGGTGGCAGGGAGATTCAGCCCGGTTCTTTTTAAAAAATATGTATTTTATTGATTTTTTACAGAAAGGAAGGGAGAGGGATAGAGAGTTAGAAATATCGATCAGCTGCCTCCTGCACACCCCCCACCGGGAATGTGCTGAAGTGTAGTAGCAGTCATCTCAAGTGGAAACTGTAGTTTCACTTTAACCCTGCTGTTCGGCTTAACAATAGAAAAGTTATTTTGATCTTATAAATCATCCCATTGGACATGGACCGGGGCATAGTGTGCTAGGGGTGTGCTAGGGACATGGGGCTTAATGTGCTGGGGGCAGGGACCGTGGCATAGAAAAATTACTGGTTGTTTTAAAGAAACAAAGTGGTGTGATATGCCCCAGCCAGGTGTGACCCCGTTTCCTTCTGAACTTTTACCCTGCCAGTTAACGCTTTGTAGTTTTTGCAAATAAAAGCTTTGCTGCACTCTCGGTCGGGACTGCAGCTGCGAGGCTCCCTTGTGAGGAGGTACGCACTGTAAGTCGCTGGCCAGCTTAATAAAGGCTCTTAAACTTAAATTCTGAGTCGGTGGTCTGTCTCGCTGAGTGAACCCATAGCAGTGCCTGTAACCCAGGTCCATGCCCCTGATCGGAATCGCACCTGGGACCCTTGAGTCCGCAGGCTGACGTCTATCCACTGAGCCACACCAATTAGGGCAACAGCTGGGCTCTTGCCCATCCCATGATGTCAGAGCACACCCCAGTGGTCTCTGCGGGTATGGGTTTGCACATCCATCCATTCACCGTTCACTCACACCGCTGTGGGCACTGCCCCCTTCACCAGCCCTGGGACAGGACGCAGGAGATCAAGGTCAGATCAGGGCCAGGGAGGGCATTGCAGGAGAGACGACAGCTCGGACTGTGTGTGGCATTACGAGGGCTGCACGCCGCCAGTGTGTACAGTGCAAGGTCCACAGAACAAAGAAAATGTCCCTCGGGCTCCCTGTGTCTGTGTCCCTCCCAAGAAAACAAAGGGCACGTCTTCAGCTCTGAGGGTCCAGGCTCCGGTCTCACCTTCCCCACAGCAGGAGCCGGGGAGACCTGCCCTTTTCTCCAGGAGGGCGTGGTGCCCCCTGGAGGCAACCAGGGGAAGTGGGCCGGCCTCCACGCCCCTTTAACAAAAGCCTTTCTGTTTGTTGTCTCTTCAGATATCTCTGGGTGTCACCGCTTGCAACCTCTCTGCAGGGTAATACAGCGACATAGCCACAGTGACAAATGCACAGAGGGCCCTGGAAGCTCCTGCGTTCGTGGAAATGGGGACCGCACACATCAGTGGGAGCATCTCAACGGATTGGGATGATGCTCCAGAGAATGGCAGTTGCTCATCTATTTTTATACATTGTAATCAAAGGAGAGGATGTAGGTGGGTTACATGAAACCCACTGGCGATAGATGAGAAAGGTGGGAGAAAGCAAAGTGTGGAAAACTCTGGGATTGGAGAAAAAGCAAAATGATAGACACATACCTAGGTGGGTGCAGGATAGTTAACAGTCAACAAGTAACACGATAGCAGTAACAATGAAAGAATTTGTGGTCTCTGTCCTGGCGCCCAGGCACATTAGGTTGTGCCCCCAGGGGTCCGGAAAAAGGGGAGTTACGAGTTACCCAGACATTTCAAGGATATGTTATCATAGATGCAAAAAGACAGACTCAGTTAAGGTAAAGGTTGACCTTTACAGGGTGGACCATCTGACACTCTTGTAGAGACAGGAAGGAAACTAGAACTCAGATGTTAACTGGGAGCCGTAGGGTAGAAGGGGTCAGGGCAGAGTCCAGAGACCTTTTCTGGTTTATTTACATACCTGGTATGGTGGTCAAATGCCTCCTCGCCCTCTTATCGTCTCTGAATGGGATTGGTGTCTCTGTTCTCATGTCAAGTTCTGGGAGAGCAGGCAATCCAAGCAATAATAAAATAGTAATGATTATAAAAAGGAAAAAAAAAGATTGATGGAGGCATCGAGGAGCTCCTACTATTCAACTTTGAGTAATTCAAATACCAAAACAACCTGGTTACAATAGATTTAATATATATATTAAATATGTTTCAGAGAGGAAGGGAGAGGAAGAGAGATAGAAACATCAATGATGAGAGAGAATCATTGATCAGTTGCCTCCTGCACACCCCACACTGGGGATCCAGGCATGTGCCCTTATCTGGAATGGAACTGTGACCTCCTGGTTCATAGGTCGACGCTCAACTCGTAGGGGCACAAATAGAATGCTGGGGACGAATTATTATTTATAAGAAATATCAATCATGATTTGCTAACCGTGATCATTTTATTCTAATTAAAGACAGTACATTCTGCCGAAACCGGTTTGGCTCAGTGTCTTGAGCGTTGGCCTGTGGACTGAAAGTAACTAACTATGTAGTTACTGGGTTTTGTCATTTGTTTCCAAGAAACTGTCCAAAACTTTTCCCTTACAGGAGTGTTAGCCAAGGTATCGCCATGTCCTGCGGGCGATTCATAGTAATATCTTACCCTGATGCAAGGCCACCCTTCACAGGACATAGGTTCCCTCGTCACTGTGCGTGTAACGTTCTTAGAACTCGCAATAGAAAGGGCAGCGGCAAGGGAGAAATTCACACCTGCTCCTCCCAGAGCCGGGGCGGCGTCTCCCTCGTAGGCGTTAGACTCCAGTTAGGACACCTGGGCTTCTCTGCTGCTGAGCCCTGGGAAGCGGGTGAGGGTGAGCTGTGGGGCCCACGGCCGAGGCCCCTGAGAAACTGACCACGCCTCGCCCTCTTCCCTGCCTGGCTGGAAGAGTGACTTAGTACGTCTACAGCAGCAGGAGTAATAGGATCCTTGACGTGCAGAGAAAGCCCCTCCCCACCCCTTGTTCACAGTTTTCGCATCAGCACAGGCTTGAGAACCATTTTGTAATGAGAACCGTTTCTCCCCAGCAGCTCCTTTGACCACATCCCATGACGGCAATGGGGCAGGGGTACGGTGTGTCCTCCCACAGGTCTCTGATTCTAATGTCAGGTTTCCTTGTTCCGTGCATTTGTCTCAGGAGCTGCTTAGTTGTAACGAAGCCTTTTAAATGTACAGGAGCGTGTTCCTTGTTGAGTTTCTTACAGTGTCGTCTGGTCGTGCTTCAGTGTGTGACACGCCTTCTCTAATCTGTTGTCCCGCATTTTTCCCTTCTTGGCACGTAGGAATGATTTTCTAGAAGTTGTGAATTTCTTGAAAAGTTTAACAATGAAGAGTAAAGAGGAAAAAACTGAATTCTTTAAGTTCAGAAAGTTAACACTTAAAATTCAGTAACTCGGGCTAAGTCCGTGAGATCGGTGGGGCACACATTTGGTGTTACCGAAGGTTATTGGTGCTGCTACGAGTTAGGCTTCCTGCTGGGCCCTGCACGCCTAGATCTGGTGAGGGAACCGCTGCTTTAGCCTGACCGGAGGCAGTGAAGGCAGTAAACGTGAGGCTTCGTGTACAGAGGCACTGCGATAAGAAAGACATAAAAGGTAAAATTGCAAGCTCTAGTGACCGTCACCAAGTAAATTGGGATCTGGGCTGAGGAGCTCATGGGCGGGAAATGCTGCCGGGATGGCCAGTGTGTCTGTGGACTCTAGAGGAGATGTGCCTGGGCTCCTGCCGGTGGGTCTGAGCGCAGGAGAGAAGGTTTAAGGTGAAGAGCTGGAGATGACTGTCCGAGTTCATCAGCCTGAAGTTGGTGACACTCTCCCAGAGAAGGTGGGAGCAGGAAAAGACAGTGGGTCCAAACTGTAGCCCCGGAGACCCAACCTCGTGAGGGGCTGGAAGGGAAGGAGTGGCTGACAGTGAGACAAGGGACGGAGGATGGTCGCAGGAAACTCAGCA